ATTTGGTAGTGAAGATGGATTTGTACAAAGATGATAGCTCACCATACTGTTATTTCCATCCAAAGGAAGAATATGTTGGAGTGTGTCCTCTCTGTTTGAACGAGAGGCTTCTGGTTTTAGCTTCAAAACAGAGATCATCCTTAAGAACCAAACACTCTTCTTCTTCACCAATCATAAGCCTCCCTAAGATCTTCGCCTTGACCTCTCTCCTCAGTCGCCTTGATCTCCGTCACCGGAAATTCCATCCCTCCTCCGATCTTGACGTCTTGACAAGCCAAGAAGGTACACAACTTTACATATTTAAGATTGAATATTACGCAAGAGTTATGCTTCATGCATCACATCTTACAAGATCTTATACCAAATGGAAATTTTCCTTTTTCCAAGAAAGGAAGATTTTCAACTTCTCTCCCATCCAATATTTACTAATATTATTACATCATAAATATGTGTCTCATGAGATTATTACATATTTTTACACTTATATCTACGAAGTTTTGTAAAAAACATTAATCCTTTTTATCAATCATTTTCTTTATAATACTATTTCAGTCGGCCAGCTAAAAGTTTTGTTTTACTCGATAAAATGATATGTGGGCTACGGCTAATTATTTTCGTATTCTGTTTTGTAGTTGGTGAATAATGTATTTATATGTATATCAGGATATTATACATATGTATATTTATATATATGAAATATTAATTATTGTACAAGAACATTGAAATTAAAATGTTTTTTTGTTGTTGTTCAGATTCTTTTATATCGATAAAATTCGAAGACGATGGAAACGCGTCATGGGAGAAGAAAGCAGTGTCAAAAGTTTGTGTAGACAACAACACAAACTCAAGAACATGCAATAAGAAGGAGCAATCCCCTATAACAAGCACTACGAGTATTGTAGAGCACAATAGTGCCAAGTCATCGCTTAGGTGGCGCAAACGTATTGGTCATCTCTTCCACGTCATCAGACTCAGATCAGGATCGTCCACTTCTTGCCACGTGGCATCATCCAAGGTGGAGAGTGGTAGTGCCAAAGTGAGAAAACAGGGTTGGATGGTGAGGACTTTAACCAGAAGAAAATCCAAGAAAAGTAAAACTTGATTTTGTTTTACAAAGAATATATTTTTTAGTTTAATATTTGGTTTGGTTTGGTTTTCTTCAATGATTGATGCTTCTGTTTAAAGAAGAAATTATATGTGGAAGTTTTTTCTGTAAGTAATGACAATACATGGATTCAAAGTCGACTTAAATATCCATTAAGTATATTGTTGAATTGATTAGATTTTCTTTTG